CTGCCGGAGCGCCAGCCTGGCTGCTGTGCCAGCGCCTCGGGTGGCATCACGCAGCTCCTGTGCTGCTGCTGCTAATTCATCCGGCAAAAATGCTTCTGGTTCCTATCCTTCTGTACCTGCTGTTGCTTCCCTGTGCTCTGAACAGCCTTGGCTCCCAGCAGCAGAAGTTCCTGGGGTGCTGCAAAGGAGAGCACATCCCAGGTTGGGGAACAGGGCAGAGCCCACAGACACCCCGCTATGGGTGGCAGCAGGGCTGTGCCTGGCTCCCTGGCGCTAGTCAGTGTTAGCCTGGGCCCCTCAGCTCTGACGTTGCTGGAGGAGATGCTGATGGATTTGGGGTGCGTCTCTAACCACAGTGTAGGATGGTCAGGGTGGAGTTACAGCTGGAAACGTGACCTGCCTCCTCTCCTACCCTGCCAGGCACCGAGCCCTCTCCTCTCCTGCTCTCCCTGCATTGTTTCCACATTCCCTAACACTGGGATCACACCCTCTTGCCTTGCAGAGATGGGCGACATGGAGTCCTACAAGGTGATGCTGAACGGGCCGGCACCCTGGGGCTTCAGGCTGCAGGGAGGGAAGGATTTCAGCATGCCACTCTCCATCTCCAGGGTAAGAGAAACCAAGGCTGGTGACACCCATCCTTCCTCCTGCCTCTGTGGGAGGGAGGCCGCAGTGGCTGAGGCAGAGCCGTACGGGGGATGTAGATGAGCTGGGGCCCCGGGAATGCTGCATCCTGCCCTGCCTGGCTCCACATAGCCTCCTTGGTCCCTTATCAGCTGCAGCCCAGCACGGGGGTGTTCCGGGCAGAGAGCTGCAGGCAGAAACGTGAAATTCTGCACAGCCTCTGCAGAGGGGGGCAGGGTAGGCCCCTTCCGGAGAGTTCCCACCGCAGCAGGAGGGGATCTGCTCTCTAAAATGTGGGATTGGCTTCCTGGTCTGCACCCCAGCACTGGGCTTGGCATCCCAGGACCGAGCCAGTGCCCTTCTGCCCTGCGTTCCACAGCACAGCTCCCAGCTCTGTGCCTGAGGTCACTCCTGAAATGGGCATGGAGAGGAGGAAGCTGCACTGCTGCCTGCACAGGGATGTGACTCCCTCCACTAAACTCTCCCGTTCCTCCAGAGCCGCAGCTGGTTGTGCCCGTTGGTTTGAGCCTCTCCCGTTGCAATGTTCCCGGGTTTGACCCCGGCTGTGTGCAGGTCCCCGTCCCTGGGCGGCTGCTGGCCACAGCTTTGGCCACGCAATTGCCTTATAAGCCTTGGAATGTGCCTGCATCGCCTGCGCCGCTGGCACTGGGGCAGCTGGCACGCACGCTGCTTCTCAAAGGACAGCTTTGCTTTGTGGCATCGAGTGCTGCATGGGGACCTGCCCCTGGCATGAGCCGGGCACTGCGCACCTGCCCCAGAGGGCACAGATGTGCACAGCATCCCAGCACGGAGCACGGTCCCTGAGGGCACTGAGTGAGGCTGGAGTCGCCTGTGCCGCTGCCCCGGGGCCTGCTGATCTCTGCTGAGCACGCAGAGACAGATTCAGCCAGTTTATTCTCTAAAAAATGTTTCTCTTGGCTGCGAGCCAGTTCTTAACAAAGGGTCTGGTTGGATGGAGGAGCCTCCCAGAGCCTGGGGCAGGGGCCTCGTGAAGCAGTTCTTGGTGAGGCTTGGGCAGTGCTGCCGTCCTGGGCAGGGCAGGAGCAGCAGGGACATTCCCAGGGGATGCAGCCAGCTTTGGGGGCTCTCTGGTGAGGCTGGGCTGCATGGCAGGGCGGTGTGCTCTGATGGGAAAGTGTGAGCCTGTGCTGCTCTGCACTCCAGAGGCATCCCCAGACCCAGAGCATGCTGCTGTCCTTGCCACCGCTTCCTGTGAGCTGTGCCTGCCACAGCAGCTGGAAGGAACCATCCTGCCCCAGCTTTGTGGGCTGCAGTGGGGCCCTGCTCTGCAGGTCTGCAGGGGTGGGCAGCACAGGACAACACTGGTGTGTCCATTGGCTTGGCTTTCACTGTGTCCATCACTGTGGCACTCCTGGGTGAGCAGTGAGGCAGTTTCAGCTCACTGATCACACAGAAGAGGTGCCACCATGGCCCTGTGACATGTACCTCCTGTGGCACGGGGCTCTGTAGGGGGCTGACACCCTGGCTAGGCAGGCTGCAAACCATGGTCCCTGTGCTGGAGCTGGGATAAGGACTGCAGTCTGGATAGCTGGATGCTGTGTGGCACATCCTGGTATCTGCCAGCTGGGAAAGAGGAGACACTTGGGTGTTACTGGCAGGAAAGCACTGAGGGGGGCTCTGTCTGGACAGGGCAGTGAGTGAGCACCTCTGGATGTGGTGATGGAGGTGCAGGAAACAAAAGGCTGGGTGGAGAGGGGAGGAAGGAAGCCGTGGTTAGCGGGTCTGGGTGGGAAGTGGGAGGGCTGGCACTGCCATGGCTCCTGGCTGTGCTGGCACCTGTCACAGGGGTTTCCTGCACGTTGGCATGGAGAGGAATGGGAAGTGCTGACCAGGCAGGGTGAGGCTTCGTGACGCAGCCTGACGTGCTCTCCCCTTCCTGGGCAGTCGTGTGAAAACCTCTCCCAACTCCTGCTCCTGCCTCCAAGCCCACGCAGCTGCCCCAGCCCTCCAGGGTAGCAAGCTGGGGCTTGCAGCAGCGTGGCCAGGAGCTGGGGGCATCACTGCTGTGAGGGCACCCTCCTGTGCCAGGCTGGAGGAACAGGAGGGCAGTGTGGGAGTACCCATGTCCTGCTGGGCATAGCAGTGGGATGCAGGTGGAACTGGGCCACATCCAGTCCATATGTGGTGTTTGGCCTTGCATGGAGGGCTGGTGTTGGCCTAGAGGAGGGATGTGTGACTCCAGGGTGAGCCGGGTTCTGTAAGGAGGGGCCAGGACTCTGTGGTAAGGATTTTTCAGCCCTCTGACAGTGCTGGGAATCTGGCTCGCTCCTTTTATGTTCATGTCGAACAGGACTTGAGGAAATACTTGGTCTGGGTCCAAGCGCCTCGAGTTCTTCCATGCTGGAGGAGCAGGAATGGCTGCAGCCTGCCCACGTCTGTCTGTCTGTCTGTCTGTCAGTGCCTGGGAGCTGTGTGCAGTGCTCTGGGCCCTGCTCTGGCTGTGCATCCCTGGTGGGAGGGCAGGGCAGCCTCCACTTCCCAGCCTGGTGTTGACGTTCAGCCGTGCCACAGAGCCAAGCAGGGCCAAGGCGCATCCCTGGCACCGTGGCCAGGGGAAGGGAAGTTTGTGGCTGTGCTCCCGGCTGTCCCAGCGGGATGACAGGGAGGGGGCGGGTGTCTCCCTGCCCCGGCAGGGCTCCTGCTCCTCTGTGGGAATGAGGTAATGTCTGTGCCTGGTGGGAACGGGCCGGCAGCGCCGGCGGCTGGGGGAGTGCCCCAGGGGTGCCTCCCCCGTCCTTCCCCGCCCCAGCGAAGGGCTGGACATGCCTGTGGTTTGCAGTGAGATGAGGGCTGTCCGGCAGGCCCTGACTCACTGTGCTCTCTTCCTGCCCTGGGACCACAGGGGTGACTCCAGGGGGTGGCTGGGCATCGAGGCTGAGGCAGCGCTGCCTCTGTGTTTGGTGTCATGGAAATGAGGCCCTGGGGTGCTGGCAGGGTCCCCAGGCATGCCACAGGGCAAGGGCTGGGCAGTGCCCTGGAGAAGTGCTTTGCCTTCTGCTGCTGCCAAGGGGAAGAGGCTGCTCTGGGCTCATGCACTGGGAAATGAGGAGTAATCTGGGGGTTGCCACCTTTCCCTGGGTCAGGTCAGTGTGATGTCCTGTGCTGGGCTGGGGATCCTGGGCCTTGGAAGGCCCCTGCCCTCATGAGGATGTCCCTCTGCTCCCACGTCACTGCTTGGCTGTTCCAGCTGTCCCTAACTCTGTCTGTCCTGCAGCTGACTCTGGGTGGGAAGGCAGCCCAGGCCGGCGTGGGAGTGGGCGACTGGGTGCTGTACATCGACGGGGAGAGCACCAGTGCCATGACACACATCGAGGCCCAGAACAGGATCCGTGCCTGTGGGGACAGGCTCTGCCTCACCTTGAGCAGGTAGGAATCATGGGTCCCTCAAACATGTGGTTCTGGTATGACTGGAGTGTAACCAGGGCCCTCTGCCCAGTGCCACCTCCTGATATCTCCATCTCCCAGCATCACTGCTCCTTACTTAGAGCCTGGAAGTCACTGGCTGTGTCCAAGGGCTCTGCTTGCCTGGATAAGGCTTAACCTGACTGCAAGCCACAGGGCAGTGCCAGCTGGCCATGTTTCCCCTCGGCTGGGTGCTGCATCCCTGGGGTACCAGCATGCTGGTGGTGTCTGGACCAACTCCAGTACCTGCCCATCTGTCTCCTCTCTTGCAGAGCCCAGAACCAGCTGGGGAAGCCGCAGAAGGTACGTGTTGCTCCTGGTGCCACAGTGGCAGCTCAGCCTCATCTCAGGGCAAGGGAATCTCAGTGTAGTGAAGCAAATGGACTTTGCTCTTGGGGCTTCTAGAGGGCTGGGGTGTGTTTGAAGGTCTAGAAAGCCCAGCTGGAGGAGCAGCTCTGAGCTCTGGCACTGTGGAGGATCAGAGGGAGCGGGATCTGCACAGTAGGTGCCTGGGCCAGAGTGTCTGTGCCCCTGCTGGTGCTGGGTGTGGGCAGGGATGCAGAGGGGCAGCGCAGGGGAGGAGGCTGGGCAGGTGCAGCGCTGTGTTTGCTAGTGCTGGGGAGTGCCCTGGCACAGGGAGGCAGGGCTGGGGCTGGTGACTGGTGGCTCCTGGGCAGAGGCCACCTGCATGTGTTCAGCTTTGTGCCGTGGGACGGTTGCAGTCGGCGTGTGTGCATGCACCGCCCTGCCACGGGCAGCAGCGAGTGTCCGGGGCACCTACTAATCTCCAAATGACCCTCAGGCTGGGTTTGTGACCTGCTGTCGCTGGCCAGGTGCCCGGTGGAGCGAGTGCCAGCCTGGCAGATCCTGGTCTCCGAGGTGCACGTGCTGTCCGGCTTCCCTCCCTGGCTGCCTGCTGCGCTGCCTGGCCCAGGGCTGCCCCTTGCATGCTGCTTGACGTGTGAGCCCGTGTCTGTGTGTTTTGTCTCGCTCAGGACTCACTCCCCTGCTCTGAACCCCTGAAATATAACTTCGCTCCCAGCACCGCCCTCAACAAAACAGCCCGGCCCTTCGGGGCCGGCTCACCTCCGAACCCGCGGCCCGGGCTGGTGACGAAACCCGTGACGTACGCGCCCCTGGCGCCCGCCTGCACCCCCCAGCACAACGGGTACGTTGCTGTCCCTCCTGCTCCCCGAGCATCGGGGGGAGCCTGCTGCCCCGCCCTGCTGCGCCTTGCATGCCAGGCACCCTGGGTGGGAGCGGGTGGCAGTGCCCGTGCCGAGCAAACGGGGGCTGGCACAACAGAGCTGTCTCACACAGGGACACACAGCCACACTGGTACAGCCACACTCGTACCAGGCCCTTGCTCAGGGATGTGTCAGCCTGTGGGGGCTCCTGCCAGGCTTGACATGGTGGCTGTAGCAAGACACTGGCTGGCATCTGCAGTGGCAGGGAAACAGTGGCTGGCTGTGACCACCGGCCGGTGCCTGCCTGGGAAGTCATGCCGTTCCCCTGGCTGCTGGAAGGGGCTGGACAGAGTGATGGTCTTCAACCCTGCCACTCTGTTCCCTGGCTCTGCTGCATGTGTGCAGCAGCTGCTGGTCCCTGCTCCTCGGGCCAGAGCTGCTGTAGTGCCCAGGAGCTGGGCAATGGGGCAGGATGTGGCATTGACTGCTCTGGGCATCCAGGCCTGTTCTGGGAGCTGAGGGAGCACGGTCTGGTCCACTGGCATCTGCTCTTGTGCCCCAGTGTGCTCTCAGCCCTGGGTGAGCTGGGTGTGAGACTCAGGGATAGGGGGCTAATGCAGGTCATAGGTGAGCTCTGGAAACTTCTTGGGTGCTGTAGGTCTAATTTCACCTTCCTTTTTCTTTCTTTCTCTCCTCCCTTTCTCTTTCCCTCTCCCTACAGGTGCTGAGCCTTGACAAGTCAGTAAGCCTTTTACCTGCTCTCTCTATCCTCCCTGCATGCCTCTTCCCTGCCAGTGCCCTGTCCTTCAGGGCAGGGCCAGCCTGGGCATGGGCAGCAGGCGCTGCTCTGCCCGTGTGGGTGGGTCAGTGCTGGCACCAAGCTGTCCCCAGTGTACAGGACACAGCTGCCTGTCTCTGCCAGCTGCTGGGGCCCTGGAGTGTCCTTGTGCTTGATCCATTCCCTGTTCCCCAAGATGTGGCTGTACTGGGCAAGGGCTGATGGGCTGTGCTGGGCACCGTGCCCATGGGCAGGTGGCACTGCCATAGACGGCTGTGGTGCTGCTTCCCTGATGGTGTTTTTTGACCTTGGCTTATTCTTGCTCTGTCCTTTCTCTTTGTGGCCCTTGGGGCCAGTTTCAAATTGCCAGAAATGGTGGTGGTTCCAGAGTCAGTCCTTCACAGGCCCAGCCTTTGTGAGGGAGCAGTTGTGGGGTGGGGAGGAAGACAAGGTGCGACGTCTCTGGTACCGGTGCGCTGTGATTCTGTGCTGGGGAAGGTGGGGGACAGCCCCAGGAGATCTGTCAGATTTGACAGATGGCTCTGTCACTCACAGGCAGCCCCCCCAGCTGCTGGAGCCCCCCAGCACCCCTGTGTGTGACCCTGTGAAGCTGCGGATGTTGGAGGACATTGATGACTCCAAGCCCCCCAGCTGGACCTCCCAGTCCCGCTCCTTCCGCAAACTGTCCCGCCTGGTGGGCGCCGACGCCAGTGAGTTCTGCAGGGCCTGGCACTGCCCAGCTTTGCTGGGGAAACTGGAGCTGGATAAAGGCTCTGGTGCCTCGTGGAGTGTTGGTTTTGGCTCTGTGGGGCAGTTAAGCCAGGCAGAGCTGCCTGGGGCTGTGTGGGCTCGTGCTGGTGCCGCTGGGCTGGGGCCGTGCTCTGCCCCTTGGCCAGGGCTGTGTTGGGACAGGTGGGCAGAGGGAGGAGAGGGCCTTTTCCCTCTCCTGTTCCTTTCCCTTCCTGCTGTCTCTGGGCCTCAGTTGCTGCAGACTGACTCCATCTCCCCCTTTCTCTCCTGCTGTGTGCTCAGTGGAGGATGGTGAGGATGAGCTTGTTAAAAAGCCCAGGTAAGGGGAGCGTATGCTGGAGCAGCAGCAGGAGCCACAATATGCCCACCCCAGGCTCAGCCCACACACCTGGTTCTCTTGCTGCTTGCAGTCACTCAGGGGAAGCTCTTTGCTCTGTGGCTGTTTTTTCTCTCCATCTCCAAGAGTTGAGCTGTTGGTGGAGCTGCAGAACTCCCCCTGCACTCACCCCACAGTGGGCACTGCCAGAGCTCAGCCACTGCTCTGGCCATCACCTTGGGAAGGTCCTGCTGGGACACACCAGTCAGACAAGGTGTCCTGTGCTGGGTAGGACCTGCTGGGCACTGCTGGCACCAAGCTGGGGAGGCCAAGCTCTGCCATTGCTTCTTGAGGAAGAGGGATCTGGTGAAGGCTGGTGCACTGAGGACACCGTGCTGGGGGTACTGGGAGGTGCTAGGCAGCAGCTGGACAGTGTGCTGTGAGCCTGGCATGGCGCTGCAGGACAGTGTGCTGTGAGCCTGGCATGGCGCTGCAGGATGGCAGGGCAGGACTGAGTGAGTGTCTCTGACTTCTGCTGCTGGAGTGCATTTGTGAGGGATGGGCTGTGCCGTGGTCAAATACTGAGTGTTGTGCTACCGTTCTTTTCAATATCACAGGGATGCCCATGGGTCCAACTGGGGCACAGTGGAGCAGTGGTGAGTGCCAGGGTCTTGTAAGGGCGCATTTGGCAGCACTGCCCTGTGCTGAAGCAGGGTCTGTGTTTGGTGCTGGCTGAAGTTCCTGCCCTCTGTCGCTCACAGGCAGCCTCCACAGCCTCTGCAGCCCCCCAGCACCCCCGGGTGTGACCCTGGGAAGCTGAGGATGTTGGAGGATGCTGAGGACTGGCAGCCCCGCACCGGCACCTCGCAGTCCCGCTCCTTCCACAAGCTGGCCCAGCTGACGGGCACAGGTGGCAGTGAGTTCCCACAGGGCCTGGCGCTGCCTGGGGATGTGGGGCTGTTTTGGGGTAACCAGGAGCTGGGAGGAGCAGTGGGGTGATGTAGCACCTGGGAGTGTTGGTTTTGGCCCCACTTAACTTCCTGAGGGCAGCTGAGCCAGCGGGAGCTGCCTGGGACTGTGTGTGGGCTCATGGTGGTGCTGCTGGTCTGGGGTTGTGCTCTGCCCTGTGGCCAGACAGGGCTGTGCAGTGGGGCCAGGCGAGTGGAGAGGTTGGTTTTCCTCCTTTCCCTTCCTGCTTTTCCTGGACCTTGGTTGCTCCAGACTGACTCCATCTCCCCCTTTCTCTCCTGCTGCACTCAGTGGAGGATGGTGAGGATGAATTTATTAAAAAGCCCAGGTAAGGGGAGCGTGTGCCAGGGCAACAGCAGGAGCACAGGGTGCCTACCCTGGGCTCAGCTCACAAGGCTTGTTCTCTCTCACTGCTTGCAGTCACTCAGGGGAAGCTCTTTGCCCTGTTGCTGTTTCTTCTTTCCTCTCCTTGTCCTCCACCCTCTGTCCTATCCTTTCCTTCTTCCTAGAGCCAAGCTGTTAGCAGAGCCGCAGGCTCACCCCACAACAGGCACGGCCAGTGCTCAGCCACTGCTCTGTCACCTCAGGAGGGTCCTGCCCAGACACCCACCAGCCAGGCAGGCCGTGCCCAGATGAGTGTCCTCACGCTGGGTGTGCAGGCAGGACCTGCTTGGCACTGCTGGCACCAAGCTGGGGAGGCCAAGATGCAGCACAGTGTGCTGGCCACACAGTGGGCAGGGGTGGCTGCTGGCACTGACAGCACCTTGCTGGGGGTGTTGGGAGTTCCAGGGTTGGGAGCTGGACCAGACCTGGGGCACAGTGTCATGTGGGGCCAGGGAATGGCTGCAAGGCTGATCAGGAGTGAACACTGTCAGCATTTCCACAAGGCTCGTGCGTCTCTGGGGCTGTGGATGTGTGTGGGGAGGGATGGACTGGTCAAACACTGACTGCTGTGCCACCATTCTTTCTGATACCACAGGGATGCCCATGGGTCCAACTGGGGCACGGGGCAGCATCGGTGAGTGCCAGGTTCTGGCAGAGGTGTTGGCATGTGCCAGGGCATCTTTGGGGATGCTTCCCTGTTCCAGAGCAGGGTCCAGTCCTGGTGCTGAGCTCCTGCCCTCTGTCACTCACAGGCAGCCCCCCCAGCCTCTGGAGCCTCCCAGTGACAGTGTGTGTGACCCTGTGAAGCTGAAGATGTTAGAGGACATTGTGGACACAAAGCCCCACACCTGGACCTCCCAGTCCCGCTCCTTCCGCAAACTGGCCCGGATGGTGGGAGCCAGCAGCAGTGAGTTCTGCAGGGCCTGGCGCTGCCTGGCTGCCCAGCTGTGCCCAGCTGTGCTGGGGCAGCTGCTAAAGGCTGTGGTGTGTTGATACAGCAGGGCACTGGTTTGACCCCATTTGGGCCCTCTATGGCAGCTGAACCAGCAGGAGCTGCCTGGGCTGTGTGGGCTCATGGTGGTGTCACTGAGCTGTGCTCTGCCCTGTGGCCAGGCAGGGCTGTGTGTTGGGACAGGGGGCTGTGGGAGGAAAGGGCATTTTTCCTTCCTTTCCCTTCCCTTCCCTTCCCTTCCCTTCCTGCTGTCTCTGGGCCTCAGTTGCCGCAGACTGACTCCATCTCCCCCTCTCTCTCCTGGTGTCCTCAGTGGATGAAGGTGACGATGAGCCCGTTAAAAAGCCCAGGTAAGGGCAGCAGCAGGAGCCACAAGGTGCCCATGCCAGGCTCTGTCCCCACAGCCTCTTCACCCTTGCTGCTTGCAGTCACTCTGAGGGTGCTCTTTGCACTGCTGGGGGTTCTCCCCTCCTTCTCTGTCCCCTCTCCCGGACTTGAGGTATTTTCAGAGCTGCACAATGGGCACTGCCAGCACTCAGCCACTGCTCTGACTGTCACCTCAGGAAGGTTCTGCCCCAAGCACCCACCTGGGTAGGGGTGGCTGGTGACAATCACAACACCTTGCTGGAGATGTTGGGAGGTGCTGGGCAGCAACTGGTCTTGGTGCTTTGCATCCTGTGCAGCTGTGGAGCAGCTGCAAGGCTGCTGGTCAGTATTTCCCTGTGGCTCGTGCATATGGCAGGCATGGTCAAACAGTGACTGTTGTGCTGCTGTTTCTTCCAATGTCACAGGGATTCCCATGGGTCCATCTGGGGCATAGTGGAGCAGCGGTGAGTGCCACGGTCCGGCAGAGGTGTTGCCATGTTCCAGGTCACCTTTTGCAGCACTGCCCTGTGCTGCAGTGTTGGGCAGGGTCTGTGCTTTGTGCTGGCTGAGCTCCTGCCCTCTGTCACTCACAGGGAGCCTCTGGAGCCCCCCAGCACCCCCGGGTGTGACCCCGGGAAGCTGCGGCTGATGGAGGACGCGGAGGGCTGGCAGCCCCGCACCGGCACCTCGCAGTCCCGCTCCTTCCGCAAGCTGGCCCAGCTGACGGGCACAGATGAGAGTGAGTCCCCACAGGGCCTGGCACTGCCTGGGGGTGTGGGACTGTTTTGGCACAGCCAGAAGCTGGGACAGGCAGTGGGATGATGTGGCACCAGGAGTTTGATTTTGGCCCTAAGTCACCCCTTGGGGGCAGCTGAGCCAGCAGGAGCTACCAGGGTGCTCATAGGGCCATGCTCTGTCTCATGGCCAAGCAGGGCTGAGAAGGGATGGGATAGTGGGTGGGGAGGTTGGTTTTCCTCCTTTCCCTTCCTGCTTTTCTTGGGCATCAGTCACTGCAGACTGATACCATCTCCCCCTTTCTCTCCTGCTGCAGTGGAGGATGGTGTGGATGAGATTGTTAAAAAGCCCAGGTAAGGGAGCATGTGCTGAGGCTGCATGTCCCAGGTGTCTGGGCACTGCTGGCTCTGAGCTGGAGATGCTGAGCTGCACCTTAGCCTTTTGTGCATACAAGGAGTGGAGGAGGATGATGGCACTGGGAAAACCTGGCTGTGGGATGTTGGGAGGTGCTGGGAGTGCCTGCACCTGGGGCACATTGTCCTGTGAGCCTGGTGTGGCAGAGCTGGGTGAGTGCTGCTGGCTCATTTCCCCTCAGCATCACTCCTTCTCCTGGCTCTGGGCACACTCTTTGCCCTGTTGTGGATTCTTTTCTCCCTCTTTGTCCTCTGCCAGAGCTGAGGTGGTGGTGGAGCTGCACAGCCCACCTTGTGCTCAGCCCACACCAGGCACTGCCAGTGCTCAGCCACTGCTTTGACCTTCACCTTGGGAGGTTCCTGCCTGGACACCCCCTGGTCAGACAGTTTGTCCCCAAATGGGTGTGCAGGCAAAGTCACTGGGCACTGCTGGCACCAAGCTGGGGAGGTTAATATGCAGCACAGTGTGTAGGGATGGCTGGTGACACCACACTTTGCTGGGCATTTTTGGAGTCACAGGGAGGCACTGTACCTGGGGCACGATATCATGTGGGGTCATGGAACGGCTGCAAGGCTGGCCAGGAGTGAATGCTGTTGGCATTTCCACGAGGTTCTCGTATCTCTGACATTGTGGGTGCATATGGAAACATGGGCTGAGCCATGGATCAGCCACTGACTGCTGTGCCACCGTTTATTCTGCTGCCACAGGGATGCCCGTGGGTCCAGCTGGGGCACGGTGGAGCAGCGGTGAGTGCCAGGGTGTGGCAGAGATGTTGCCCCGTGCCAGAGCACCTTTTGGAGTGCTTCCCTGTTCCAGAGCAGGGCCTGTGCTTGGTGCTGGCTGAGCTCCTGCCCTCTGTCACTCACAGACAGCCCCCACAGCCTCTGGAGCCCCCCAGCACCCCCGGGTGCAATCCTGGGAAGCTGCGGCTGATGGAGGATGCTGAGGACTGGCAGCCCCGCACCGGCACCTCGCAGTCCCGCTCCTTCCGCAAGCTGGCCCAGCTGACGGGCACAGATGAGAGTGAGTCCCCACAGGGGCTGGCACTGCCCGGCGGTGCTGGGCTCTCCGTGGGCTGCCAGGGTCCGGCAGAATCTGGAGTGACACTGGAGTGTTGGTTTTGGCTCCGTGTGGTCCCTGTGGGGTGGCTGAGTCTGTGGGCGCTGGTGGGGCTGTGCGCGGTCTCGTGACGGTGACACAGGTCTGGGGTCTTGGTCTGCCCTGTGGCTGGGCAGGGCTTTGTTTTGGGGCAGGGGTTGGTGGGAGGAGAGGTTGGTTTTCCTCTTTTCTCCCCTTTCCCCTCTTGTTGTGCCGGAGCCTCTGTCTGTGAGGACTGACTGTTTCCTCCTTTCTCTCCTGCTGCGCTCAGTGGAGGATCATGATGATGTGTTTGTTAGGAAGCCCAGGTAAGGGGAGTGTGTGGCAGCAGGAGCTGGGGGGCTGCACATCCTGGGCAGAACCCCTTGGGCATTGCTGCCCCTCAGTTCGGAATGCTGAGCTGAGCTGTGGTGCCCCAGAAACGGTGGTTGGGAGTGGCTGATGGCACTGGCCAATCTCACTGGATTGTTGTGATGTTTGGGTGGCATCTGGACCTGGAGCACAGTGTCTTGCAAGCCTGGTGTGGGGCTGTGGATGTCACCAGTTTGTCAGGGTTGTTCTTTGTTCTGTGCAGCCAAGCAGGGGGGTGGACAGCCCCCCATTTTTGGCCTTTACTTGTCTGTAAAACTTCCTGCCCTGGCGCCATGGCCCTTGGGTACCAGCTCTGCCCAGTTTGCTCTGACTCAAATAGAAGTTGGGTTTGTTGCCATCTCCTTTTTGAATTTGTCTTGGAGAAGCACAGAGCCACTGGCTCTCCCTCTTTCCCTGTCCCCCTTCTTTCATTGAGCTGTGCCTCTTTAGCCCTGGCTTGCCCTGCCTGTTCCCACCACTGCTGAGCTGGACCCTGGGGCTCCCTGCATCAGGCCACATCCGGGTCCCCCTGCACCCCAATGACACTGGGGGTGACCATCACATATTAGTAGGCAGCCAAAGTCTGTGTGGTCCCTGGGGTCCCTGGTCAGTGTGGAGAAGCCCAGAACCTTCCTCCTGCCTCTCTCCAGACCACCACAGTGGGTACCAGAGACCCTGGGGGTGCTGTGTCTTGGCAGGACTGAAGGCCCTTGGCTCAGTACCTCATCACTAAACCAGTTACTGCTGGCCATGGGGGTTTGGCCAGCTTCCTCCTGCTTGTAGGGGTGGGAGCCCCGCCTGCAGCCCCTGGGCAGTGGGGGTGAGCAGGGCAGGCTGGATTAACTGCTTGTTCTGTAGCCAGGTCTCCGTGCCGGACCCATCCCCAGGAGCAACGATGAAGACGGAGCCAGGACTGGGTGAGCAAAACATCTCTGGGCGTTTTGGGGAGGGGCTGCTGAGCGATCAGGAGCGCTCTCCTTAAGACTTGTATGTGTGTGTGCAGCCCCCAGGACCCCCAGTGCCAGCCCCAGCCCCACCAGCCGCCCGCCCTGGGCTGTGGACCCCTCATTTGCCGAGCGCTACGCCCCGGACAAGACGAGCACGGTGGTGAGCAAGCACAGCCAGCCTGCCACGCCCACCCCCATGCAGAACCGCAGCTCCATCGTGCAGGCAGCCCAGCAGGCCCCCGAGGGGCCTGGCCGCACCCCCCTGTGCTACAAATGCAACAAAGTCATCAGGTGAGCCCCGGCTGCCACCACTGCCACGGCACCATCCTAGGCCCTGGGCCCTGGACATGGCTGACATGGCTCTGTCCTGCCGCAGGGGACGGTACCTCGTGGCGCTGGGACATTATTACCACCCCGAGGAGTTCGTGTGCTGCCAGTGCAGGAAGGTGCTGGATGAGGGCGGCTTCTTTGAGGAGAAAGGCTCCATCTTCTGCCCCAAGTGCTACGACACGCGCTACGCGCCCACCTGCGCCAAGTGCAAGAAGAAGATCACTGGGGTGAGTGTCCCTCAGCTGCCCTCCATCTCCTCCTTGCCCTCTGCTGTGGGTGCCTGGCTCTGTCCCTTCCCACCTTGGTCCATCTCAGGGGATTCCTTGTCCCTTCCTGCCCTGGGTGCTCCTGCCCCTGGCTGACAGTGGCTCCCCTCCAGGAGGTGATGCACGCACTGAAGATGACCTGGCACGTGCAGTGCTTCACCTGCAACGCCTGCAAAACTCCCATCCGCAACCGAGCCTTCTACATGGAGGAGGGACAGCCCTACTGCGAGAGAGGTAGGACCCTGGGACCCCGTGTGTCACCTCATGTGGCCCTGGGGCACCACTGGGACTCAGCAGTTGCACACAGGGCTGGGGACATGAGCTGCCCTGCTCCCTGGGGCTCCCCCTGGGCTGTGGGGAGCACAGAGACCCCAATCCCACAGCCCTGAGCGCTCCATCCTGGTTCTCCCTAGCTGCAGGGTAGTGCCATGCTCCTGTGTTGCCATGGCAACGAGGGAGGATGTACATCAAAGCTGCTGCTGCATCCTGGGAGCTGAGGTTCTCCTCCTCCCCCTGGAGCCCTGTGGTGGCCAAGCCACCCTGCACCTTTCAGGGCATTATCTCACCTGGATGGGGGCTGGCAGGGCTGTCCCCAGGCCGTGCCTGTGAGATCCTGGCTGAGCTGCAGCCCTGCTCCTCTGGGATGAGCAGCTGTAGTGCATGGAAGTGCTGACCTGTGCTCTGCCTTTCTCACAGACTATGAGAAGATGTTTGGCACCAAGTGCCGCGGCTGTGACTTCAAGATCGATGCTGGGGACCGGTTCCTGGAGGCGCTGGGCTTCAGCTGGCACGACACTTGCTTTGTCTGTGCGGTGAGCAGTGTGCCTCCCTCCCCGACTGCTGCAGGGCCTGTGCCTCTCCCTGGCAGTCCTGCCCTGGGTGGGGTACACCAGCAGCACTGGAGACCTGCTGCTGCAAGATTTTTCCCACTTGCCTCCATTCTGGGAGCTTGGGATTCTGCTCTGAGCCTTCTGGTCCCTGGCAGTGTCCCAGACCCACGTGGAGGTCCCTGTGTGACACCAGTGCTGGGCTGTGGGGGATCCAGAGGCTGGCTCGGCCCCTCAGCCTGACCACCTGCACTCTCCTCCCCAGATCTGCCAGACCAACCTGGAAGGGAAGACGTTCTACTCCAAGAAGGACAAGCCTCTGTGCAAGAGCCACGCTTTCTCCCATGTGTGAGGGGTGGAAATCCAGCTGTGCCAACACATGTCCCTGTCCCTGCATGCTCCTCTCCCCCTGCCCTGCTGGCCCTACGGAGCCAGGCTGGGCCCTTGGCCCTTTCCCTTGCTCCTGCCCCTTTCCTAGCATCTCCTGGCTCAACTCCAGCCAGATAGAGTGCTGGCTCCAGCCTTTGATAGCTGGGTGGCTTCTTATATGCTTTTCAGCTGGCCCTAGGAGCCCTGGGAATGGGATGCTGCATGGATCTTCTGCCCCTGAGCCACGCAGCATGGTGGGCACAACCGTGCTGAGGCTGGAATTGGAGAGGGTCTGCCACAGCTGGGCTGCTCCCTTGCTGCCTGGCAGCTCATTGCTGGGGCAGGGACACTCCTTACACATCCCTCCCTGAGTGGGTGAGGACCAGCTCCTGTCTCACTCTCCCCAGCCTTCCCTGCTGTGTGCTTGGGGCTGGAGACCCAGCCCTGCTCCTCTGCTGGGGCCCTGCCCATGCCAACCCACCAGGCACCCCTCACACTGCTGCGGTGGTTTCCTGCCCCAGCTGCATTCCAGGGGTGTCTGTTCCTCATACCCCCACCCTGCTGGCATCCCCTGGGGCTGGCATCACCCCCAGCCGTGGGCTGGCAGCGTGTGCTGATGCCAGCCCAGCCAGGCGGCTGCTCCTGCAAGGCTTGGGCACAGCTTCCTACCAAAGAGCTCTCTGCCACTGCCATCCTGGGGCCACCGATGCCTCCCCCCAAACCACACCCTCCGGTCGGGCTGCGCTGATGTAGCCACGGTGCTTTTAGTGCCTTTAATAAACACGTCTCTGCAAGTGCCGCCTGTCTCCGGGCCGTGGTTCTGCCGAGCGAGGTGCGGCCGGCTGGGAAGGTCATGCTCTGCCCTCATCCCGCTCCCTCTGGGGCCTGACTCAGCTCCTTGCAGCTTTCCAGGGAAACTCTTTGCCTCACATTTCTCCTCCTCTGCCCGCGTCAGCCCAGGCTTGACCCCATGTGTTGGCTGGGTCATCCCTCTTGTCGCAGGCAGGACCGCTAATGGAGGCAGTAATAAATCTGGGGGGCAAAATGCAGCAAGATGGGGAAGGGGTCAGACCTTAGTGGGGGCCCTTGTGGGGCAGTGTCCTTGTGCCTGAGTTTTTAGAGGTGTTGAGGAGCCTTGGGGCACGCATGGGCCACGTGCACCAGCCCTGGGCGTTCTCCAGCGTGGAGCAGCCAAGCGTTCGCTCACGCGCTGCAGCTGCTGTCCCAAAGGACGGGGGTGAGGCCACAGCAGCACCTCCAGCTGGAACGGGCCGGAGGGCAGCGGCTGTGGGGAAGTGGCTGTTCTCCTCCCTCTCCACTCTGACAGCTGGAACGGTCATTAATAATTGCAGCTCTTGCCATGATGAGCAATTGTAAGGAAAATTGTCTTGCTCATCTACTGGAAGGTTCTGCCGGGGGCAGGAGCTGGCTGTGGGAAGCCAAATGACTCCTGGCATCACCCAGATCTGGGCTGCGGTGCCATGTCTTCTCACTGCCAGTTCCAGGAGTGCAAAAGCACATCAAAGATGGGGTGAGGAAAGTCGAGGGATAAAGACAGGCTGGGGCTGGGCCAGGCGCTCAGGCTGGGGCACAGGAGAGCAGTGGGCTGGTCACGCTGAGAAGCAGCAGGACACAGGTGCAGCAAGAGACAGAAACAGCTGGTGCCTGCCTGGCAGGGCTGGCAGGAGCAGGGCTCAGTGCCCCGTGTGAGTCCCAGCTGGGCAGCCAAGGTCAGAGGAAGCACAGGGGAAGGTGAGGTGGCTGTGGCTCCATGTGGGCAGCCCCTGAACCAACCCTTGCTTGGCTGGACAGCAATCTGTGAGTGGAGGGTGGGAAAGGGGCAGGCAGTGGTGCGGGACGGAGCCTGCTCTGGGAACAGGTTCTGCCAGATCAGCCCCGGGGTGTCCAGCAGGGCCAGGGTGCTGCAGCCAACCTGCCTCTGCCCTGGGAGAGCCAAGCATCCCCCTGTGCCGCTGCAAGGGCTGTGCTCTTGGCTGTGCTTGGCTCCCTGTTGCCTCTGGGCCATCCTGACAATGGCTCTACCACCCAAGGTGCCTCTGAGCCTTGCCAAGGGCATCTCTTGCCCACCAGCTCTGCGCACCATGTGAGGAGCTTGTGCTCAGGCAGCGGAAGGAGGGTCTCGGGTGGGCTGCGGAGGTGGAGCCTGGGGAGGGGCTGCAGCCTCGCTGCTCCGAGAACAAAGCCTGGCGGCGGTAGGCTCGGAGCTCCCACCACATCCCCGAGCAGGGTC